ACGGATTGAGTTGATGCTTCACCTGTTTCACCCTGCACACAACACAGGTTTGCTCATGTTTCAGGATCCTGTTGCTGCTGGAAAGCAACTGGTATCACCAAGGGCCAGCTCTGTATTACTGAAATGCTGACATCCTTCATCCCTGTCTTTGCAATTTGGTTCTTGTGCACTTTGAATGACTCACTGAGCATCTCTGTGCCACCTTCTCCCCACAGATGTGGTACCTGCTGCTGCTCCTTCCCTTTGCACTAATGGAAAACTGCATTATCAGTCTTGGGCCCTGCTAGTGATAAAATCTCATCACAAAATGTCAGATCTAATACTCCCCTCTGTCCCAATCCTTTCCTCAGCCCCTGGAAAATGTTAGTTGACAAGAGAATTTGGCAAATTGTTCTATTTGAAAAGGTGGGGAGGAAAATATTTCTGATTTCTCAGTCCAGCCTGTCTTGCTGCCTTTTTTTCCCTGCCTTTTTGGGAGGCAGGGAGATTGACGAAGGGGATAGAGCAGGTAAGCTGAAAATTGTTAGCTGTTTTGAAATTACAATGTAAGTGTGTTTTTAAAGGACCCAAACTGAAAGGAAGTATTTGTGAGTTATGAAACAAAATATTTCAATTGTCCTAAGGCAGAGTCAGTTTAGTTTTTAATTTGCATCTCTGGAGTATTTATAAGAATTACCATTATTTGTTAAGAATTAAAGAAAATACTGTAAGATTAAATACTAAAAATACCATCAAATTGCTGTATCTATACTGATTACTGTTTTTATTGGCATCAGTGGGAGCTTCCCGAGAGGCTGGTAGAGCTAGGGTTGGATCTTTGATCTGTTTACTCCTGCTGTTATTTACCACTGGCTGGGAAACATGGGAAAAGATCGAGCAAGTGATATTAAAGCTGGCCCCAAAATGTATCCCATCTTTATCCTTAGCAGCAACCCCAAAACTGGGAAGAGAGGTTTTGCAAGACCTCTTTCTCTACTAAGCAGCAGCTTTGTGGTTGCATGACTAGGTGGGTGATGTGGAAAGTGTTTTCCCAATGAGGGGGAGTGGCTAGCCATTGTGCAGAATTTCTGGAAAGAGGAAGGATGTCTTAAGCTAATTCTAACTTTCCTAATTTCCTCTTGAGTCCTCAATTCCACATAATTGTTCAACCACAGGCACTATCCCAATTGCCTAATAGCCTAATTCTTGTGCCCAGTAGCATGCTCTGTTGATCCTTGAGCATAGTTCTGCTCTGTACAGACCCTAAACTATCCATTGTTTTTCCACAATCTACTTGCTTTGTGAATTAAAGTGTAAAATATTAATATTGCAACAGTAGGATTTTGTTGGAGTCTCAAAAGAAGATAACAAAAAAGGGATGGGTTGAGACAGTTATTTTCTTGATTTTAGGACATAGAATAAGAAAAAACACAATTAACATGAGGGGTTTTTAAGGTAACCTAGAGGTGAATAATAATTTAATAGCTTTTAAAAGATCTTAGATAGGTGGATCCTCTATCCCACATTGCCCTCTAGTGAGGACATTGCAGAGCAAATTGTGCCTTCCTGCAGCCACCAGGATATGAAATGTGGTATTTTAATAACTGAGCTTGTTTCTCAAGCCTTGTAATGGCTCGTTTCTGATGTGGTGGTGGTGTGATACAACAGTGCGAGGAGGGGCACAATTCATCTGTCACCTGTGCTGTCACCTGTACGTGCACTGGCCACAGCTTTCTTGACATTTGCTTCATCTGAGCTATCTACCTCTGCAAGCATTTTCCTCCTGCTGCTTGATTACCAGCCACAGGTCCCTGCTCTCTTCTTCTTTGGGAAAAGGGGAAAATATTCCTGGGGGACAGTTTGGTGAAGGATGATCTTTTTCTGTGTTCTTTGTCTTTTGTTCTTTGTTCCGTGAACATACTCCAGTTCTGTGGTTTTGTCTGTGTGTATATATGGCCTGTGGTTTGGAGATCATCATGGGACAAACTTCCATCCCTCTTTAACCCAACACTGGGGCATCCAAAAGTGTTGCTTAGAGGATTAGAACTGGCCCTTGTCCTTCTGCCTGCCTAGCTATGTGACAAGACACATTGGTGCCACAAGACAATTTTGGTGTGTTCCCAGAGCTGTTAAGCACAGAAAGTCATCAACCAGTAAAAGGTTTTCAAAACAAAACAAACAAACAAAACAAAAACCAAAACAACAATAAAATAAAACAACAAAAAAAAAGAGATAACAGAAGGAAAACAAATATCTGCTGCCTCTGGAGTGCAGGTCATGCAAGGTCTCACCTAAAGCTGCCCTGTGGTGCCCAGAATTGACCACTCCTGGTGTGTGGGTGCCCCAGATCAGCTGTCTTAATGGCCACACAGTCCTTTTGCTCACACACAGGTACCATCAGGGCAGTGGCACAGCAGCTCAGCAGCCCCCTAGGTTCCTTGGTGCCTGTGGGAACCTGTTGCAGCCCAGTGTGCTTTGCTGCCTTCCCTTGGAGGGCCATCCCTGTGGATGGGAACCCTCAGACAGCTCTGGGTGCTGGATACAGGGGTCTGGGCTGAGGATCTGCGTCTGGGAAAGAGCGAGATGCTCAGGTCTGCCTGAACTTTCCCTTATACCTTCTAGGGCAGAGAAGAGCAAAACAATGTCCAGAGTCCTGAAGTCCAAGGACTCTTCATCCAAAACATAGGCTCTGTTTGTCACTGCCCCAACCTATATGTGTCCTTATGTGCTTGGCCATATTCATGCAGAAATTCATAACTCATCTTCAGCCATCAAAAATTAACCTGGTTTTTGATTGCTGGCTTGTTCATCAGAGTAGTAACCATGGCCGTCTCTGCTAGATGCTGTCTGTTTTAGCTCTTTGACTAAAAACTTAGCAGTTTTAGAACAGTTCTAAAACCTGTGAATTCCTGCATGCAGACACAACCTGACTGGGCATGTGGCAAATACCTGGGTGATGACAATGCCCTGTGGCCATTGCCATCCTCCCAGGGGCTCTGGGACCCCCAGGAACACCATCATGTCGGGGGAGCCAGGGTGAGCAGCACTGTCACCCAGCCTGCTCCACATGGCACTTATGGGCTGAATGACAAACACTAATGCCATCTAGTGACCAAAAAAAAAAAAAGTGACATGGATATTTTATGAAATACCATTATAGCCCCAAGTGAGGCTGACCTTGAGGGCTGCAAAGGAGGGAAATGGTGCTGAGTGTGCTGGGAAAAAAAAATACCTTTTTCTCTTTTCTTCCCAGCTGTCTTTTCCTGCATTTCACATTTCATGAAGTGCTTCTGCATGTAACAAGGGACTGGGATCTCCCACACGAGGCTTTATAGGTACCCAAGCGAGCAAGGCACAGGCTTCCTAAGCAGCTCTGTTGCTCAAGGAGCACAAACTCCCCAGTTTACTGATGGATCATGGGGCACAAACCCAACACCCCAGGACAAGGTGACTGCAGATGGCTGGTTCACTAGTGACATGGACAGCATGGGCAGAGACCCTGGGGACTAATTTAAGCTGGCAGCACAGCTGCCACACAGTGCCATTGCTGCAGCTTTGAGCTTGGCTGAAATAGGGCAGGGGATGGCAGCTCCTGCTGCTGCTCTGACAGCAGTGACTCCTTACTGTGGCTCATACAACCTGTCACTTTTTTTCCTCCCAGCACCTTTGTTTCCTCCTCTTGCTGCTGTAGGTGGTGAGAGCCATGAAGGCATAACACGCTGGGTCTCTGTGTGAGCAGCTGGCTGGAGGCACCGCTGCTTTGTACCTGGTTACTAATCCAGCCAGGTCCCAGTGCCGACAAACTGGAGGACTTAGTTTGCACCTTGCATTTTAAAAATGAAGGTGCAGTTGTTTCTGACCATACCAGCTTATTCTGCTTGACTAAGCCGTCACCAGCAGGTGTGGTTTGCCCTGTGTAGGGCTGGTGGTCTCCTGGGAATATTCTGCAGTTCTGGTAATTTCTCCAACTCCTGAGAAATGCACAGAGAGAGAACTTGGGAATTAAAAGTTTCCCGATAAGGAAGTTGAGGGCTGAGATAGCTGCGATGAAGTGCATTATGGATGCACTGAGATGCCAGGCAGCACCCCCGGAGAGATTTGAAGAGAGATGTGGGATGTACCCCGAAGGAGAGTGAGAAAAGCTCCCAGATGCAAATAATCTCCTTCATGGGCCATTTCTGAAGTGCAGTGACACCAAGACTGGTGCCAGCACAGGCTGTCCCCCCTCACCAGGAACATGGATCCATCAGCACTATCTTGTTCCAGAGGGAACAAGCAGGCTCTTGCTCTGCACTGGCCAGACCTTGTCCCTGCTTTCTTCACAAAGCCATTTACAAGGGTCCTTGAGGGCTTTCTGTTGTTTTTCCTTAATGTTGTTGTTTTCCCAAATGTGAAGGTATCAAATATGTTCTTATTGTCTAATTTACAAATGTTTTGTGTTATTTTTGCTGCTTCTGTTTCTGGATTATCCTTGTGTCCCCCTGCCTTTCTGCCCTGGATAATTGAGAGCTGGCAGTGTGCCTGTAACGTTCCTGTTTCAAGGCCAAAATGGGAGTGAGAATAAATGTTTCTAAATACTGTATTGAAACAAGTAACTAATTTACTCATAATAGCTCTTCTTCTGGCATTACAGTGGTAATTTCATGCAGGTTTTGCAGGGGGAGTGAGCAGTTGTGAGAGGTTGGAAGAGCCATGTGCCTTGGGGAATATTTGCTGTGTGTGTATAGTGGCGAGAAGGGATTCACGGATTTGGAAAAGTGCTCCTACTTCTGTAAAGGGACTTTATCCAGCCAGCTGTGACAATGCTTATTTCATAGATTTGCTGGTCCTAAGTCTGAAAATTCTGCCTACCAGGAGTTTAGCTGGAGGAGGCAAAGGCGAAGACAAAGATTTCCCCATGGGGAGAAGGCAAGCATAGCCCTGTCTATTTGGCATCCTGCATCTTTCAGGAGACAAGCAGAACAACTTGCAATGAATAACCAGTGCCTAGTACTAATTTTGTCTTTTCTCTCTCCTTGTAGGGATCCTGTTTACGATGCTGGTATTTGGACCAGCCTGTGGATTTATCTTGGGCTCCTTCTGTACCAAAATCTATGTGGATGCTGTCTTCATTGACACAAGTAAGGAGAAATGGGTTTGATTTCAAATGGAATACACTACAGTTGTACCAGCAGGATGTTGATACTCACAAGCAGAAAACTGCCTGTTGTTCCATCTTGAGTGCCTCCTGCATGTATGGGTGTCACTTTTAGAGTGGTTTTATGACTGGGATTCAAAAGTTTTCAGCTCTGTTCTGATAAACAGATTTGCAGTCATTAAAAATTGTCCTCTTCCTTTGTTTTTTCTACTGCGAGATGAGTTTCACCCAGCTCTTAGAGAACACCTTGAAATATCACTGTGGCAGGGCAGATGGCTACACATGCACATAGTCATGCCAGGGGAGCTGTGTCCAGAGCACAGGATGAAATCTGGAGAACTGCCACCCCAGGAGCTGTGGGAACCCTCCAGGTTCTGGTGGAGGTACCACCAGTAAGACCCATGCCCAGCACCTTCTGCCAATGACCTTGCTTCAGCCCCACAGCATAATTCCTTTTTCCTAAAGCTGTGCTAATTATTGCTCACCTTGACTGCACTTGGATAAATCAGATTGTTTGTTAATTGATTTTTTTGTTCATTAAGACAAAAATCTGCCTATTCTGCTTTTACTCATACCTGCACTGTGTGCTCTTTGCCATGAGAGGGCAATATGTAACAGGCAGTTCTCCACTGCTCCCTCAGCCCTCTGGCTGCAAACTCGACGCTTTTCTTTTCCCTCAGTTATTCAGATGTTTTTTCCATAGCTCCATCGAATCCTCCAGACCCTTTTTCATGGGTATTGTCCCTTTTGAGGTTGCATTTCAGCTCTGTGATGTTGCAAATACATCATCACAGAACTCAGAACAGAATTATGCAAATCTGGAAGAGAGCTACTGCCTTTTCTTGGTCTCACATAGACACGGCAGCTGAAGAAATATAAATAATATCAAATGAAAAACAAGTATCTTCTTTTGATGGCTGAGACTTTTGGCTGCAGTTTGATTCAAACACCACCTGGCCCCTTTTCATTCCTTGGCTTTACCAAAGCCTTTTTTGGTTCTGTAGGCAGAGAAACTTGTTTGAACCCTGTTCGATATTTGACCATTAAGTATAATTTACACTATAATATGAATGTAGAGAAGAAAATATTTCCTCTCCCAGAAGGTGAAGTTGTGGAAGTCCTCACCATGAAGTATTAAAAATTGACAAATGGATTAAAAAAAAATGGGGCAAGTTTATAGAAGAAAAAATGAACATGACAAAATCTAGCTTATAAAGCCCCCAAGCCACAAATCACAAGAATAATATCAGGTATATGCTGACTTTATTCTTGTGGTCTTTCTGGGCAGCTGCAGCTGGTTACCATCAGAGCAAGATGCTGGCCTAGCTAAAAAGTTAATTTGATGTCTTCTGGTCATTTTTAATATGAGACGTTGCTCCGTATTTACACCTCCAAAAGCCCCAGACAAATATGGAGCCACGAAGGAGAGTAGTGGAGTGTTTATCACTGAGAACACAGAGGGGCTGTGGCTCAGCCACCTACGGGGTGGTTGTAGTGCTTCCCAGCTGCAGGTCCAGCTGGCTTTGGCCATGGTCCATTGCTGTCCTGCAGAGGCTGGGACACACATGGCCTCTGTCTGTTTTTGTATGGGAGCTTCCATGCTGCAGCTGGCTCTGGTTTGCAGCTCGAGGTGGCACGAGGAGACCAAGCTCCAGGGGGTTGAGCCTTGTCCTGCTCCCTGTTTTGGGCAGGTGTGGGATGCCAGGGCTTGCTGATGCACTGGCCTCCATGCAGGAGCTATTTTAGGAAGGGAATATAAAGAGCATCTTGATTTACCTGGCTCTTCACAGTGCTGTGTTCCCAAGATCCTGAAGAAGATGCACTTCAGGCAGGAGAAAATAGTAGCAGAAGAATCCAGTCCCTCCACAACACTATTTTTCAAACTTTATCTGTATTTGAGAGCTACGTGTTATTTTCCCTTAGGAGAAAAGAGTTTCCTTCTGTCTCTGCTTGAGAGACAACTTGATTGCCTCACTTGAGACAGATTTTTCAGAGTGGCAGTAACCAGACAGACATCATGAACAGAGGAGCTTGTTATTCCAGCCACGCAGACCTGGGTCTCCCCCAGGAGTCAGCTCAGCACTGGGCACCCTTGTGGCTGTGGCAGCAAGGCAGCTGTTGGGAACACAGCTTTTCGTGTCCTGCTGTTTATTTTTATTCCCCTAAACTGACTCCAGACACTTCTTTTGCCTTATCACTGCTGAGTGATGGTCTACAGGATACTTTTGCCTTTCACTTTGCTTTTCTTCATTTTCTGATTATTTCTCTACATTCCTGAGCCCATTTGATGCAGCGTGAGTTTCTTTTTCAATATTTAGGATTGTTTCACCTTCCACAGGTGCCCCTAAAGCCCATTGAAATGCCCATCTGTCTTTTGCTGAAAAGGGCTGTGAATTCAAGGCTAGGAGAGCACTGACTTCCTGGGAAAAAGGGGTAAAACAGGGTGGAGATGCAACATCATTGTCTGCACTGCTGCTTCTCTGTGTAGATCAGTAGGTGTGTTGGCTGTGTGTGAACAGGGGAACAGGCTGGGACAGGGGTGCCAAAAGCTTGATGCCAGCACAGGGGACACTGACAGGAATATGGTAGCTTTCTAGAGCTGGCAGAGCCAAGACAGTGGAGAGAAGCTCTTGATTACGGGATGTTGCAGAAGCAGGATGTACCATCCATATAGAAAAGGTAATGGGAGCTTGTCCTAAGGATCTCTTGGACCTGGAGGTCCTTACGCAGTGGTGGCTCACATAGTACAGGTGTGGGGTGGGCTGCAGGCCCCCACCTTGCGTCTTGTATCCCTTATCAGCCAACAAAGCCCCCAGCAACTGTCCCCCTACAGGATCATCACACTGTTGTCTTCCCCTCCCCGTGTGTGCCCTCGCAGGTAAGCTGGACATAACCCCGGACGACCCTCGGTGGATCGGTGCGTGGTGGGGAGGCTTCCTGCTGTGTGGTGCCTTACTCTTCTTCTCGTCCCTGCCGATGTTCGGGTTCCCGCAGTCGCTGCCCCCGCGGCCGGAGCACGCCGGGGAGAGCGAGCAGGCCATGCTTCCCGAGCGGGAATACGACAGGCCCAAGCCGAGCAACGGGGTCCTGCGGCACCCGCTGGATGGGGAGAGCAGCACGACCTGCTTCCAGCAGCTGCGAGGTGAGGCGCTGGCTCTCGTCGTGTTTTCCGTGGGGACCACCAGCAGGTTAACAGCTGGTTGGATTTATAATTGGTCTCTGATTCGGGCTGTCTACCTCTATCCCCGAAATTCCAAAAGAAAAAATTACTATCCTGAAATTTCAGTCCCTAGCTTCTAATTATCTCTGGCATTGTCCTCATTTGAAAGAGAGACTTTGTTCCACTTGAAAGCTTTGTGTTTTGGTTTTTTTTTTAGCTGCAAAGCTTCAGAAATGCGCGATAGTCCTGTAGAGTTGATAAAAAATTGAAGGGGAACACAGTTGCCAGAGCAATTTGTGAGCTTCTCTCCAGTCTACTGTCCTGCTCCCCTCTGCCTCCCAAAGTGGAGAGCGAGCTGGCAAGGGCAATAAAAAGAAATTGGGAGCTCCCAGCATCTGAACTGCAGATTAGTGCAATCCCAGATACAAAGCGATCAGTCCTGGGCATCACCACAGCTCTTAAACTGGGATGGGGAAGAGGTAGATATCAGCCCAGAATAGCAGCAGTATGACAGGGCAGAGCATCACTTGTGGCAAATTAGAGAGAAAATCCCACATCATGTCCTGCAGTGATGGAAATGGAGCTGACTCTAATTAAAGTCAGCTGAGGATCCAGCATTTCATGGGAGAGTGTGGGCAGATCTCCTTTCTGTAGGCTGCACTAGAAAATCCTTCATCTGAGAGGGTGGTTCTGTAGCACTGGTGGCTGCTTCCCACTCCCTGTCACTGTGGCAGAGCGAGTTTCATTACTGCCTGATGTATTTAGATAAATGAGGACAAAATCACTTACTTCCCTTGCAGTTGCCTTAATTGGGAGTTGAAGGATGTACAGGGGGGAAGGAAGAAGAGACTTTGGGGAAAAAAGTATTTTCTAAACATAAAAATACCTTGAATAGTTGATGTGGTAGTTCACTAAGGGAAGGTCAAAGATGTGAAATTCTGACTTGATGAGAAAATTCAAAAGAAAGGTAAAGGGATAAATTGTTTGAAACTTTGTCAGTAAAATTAATTTCTTCATCCTTTCAAGGATTTTCTCTGTTTTGAGGAATAGATTTTTCCCATGGTATGTCCATCTGGATAATTCTGTGGCTTTTGTTGTGTATACACCAGGGTGTCTACTTCTAACCACTGAGTTTTTGGTGCGGGCACTAGACATTTTTTCAGGTTTTCATATAGAAAAAGGAAAGTATGACATATCCCTGCTGCATGGAGGGATAGCAGTTCAGCCTAAGGATGGTGCTGAGCATCTTGCACACAGGGAGGCCATGGGGGGGTTCATTGAGCATCTGCTGCTCATTGAAGTGGAGAAATTAAGCTGCCACTTCCATATGCTTCAAGTATTGATTACATCAGGAGGCACCACAGTCTTCCACATTAGTACTCTCATTGCAGGTAACCCCATTTTGGATCTGTCAGTATTTCGGGAGTCTTTTTGTAGATGGACTTTGAAATATAATTTATATCACATCAAATAAGACAAGGAATGACCTTTTTAGTTATTCCTTTGAGGCTGTCACAGATGACACGGTGTTGGTGGCTGACACCTCCTTTCAAGTCCCTTGCCACTACTGTTGCAGTTGGAATGTGGTCAAGAGTTGTGTTGCTAAAGTGCCTGCCTGGAAATGTTCAGGCACGTTCCACAAGGGAAGGCAAACACCCCTCATCATTCCTGATGAACAGTGCTTCAGGTGATGGTTTAATCTTTCTGTGGATGTACATTATTTTGCTAGCACCTGAAATACCTATATGCATTTCTGTGTGGCGGGAGCTGATATCCTTAATCTATTTGTCAATTGCACATATTTTCCTTTGGGGAAAGTTGGACTGTTTAGCCTTTATCCTAGGATAAGAAGGACTCTTTATTATATACAGAGGTTAAAAATATATATGTGCATGCATAGTCATGTCTTCTGTCCTAATATGGACCTTGAGCTTAACATAAATTTGGGATGCTGAACAGAATCATAGAATCGTAGAATGACATGAGTTGGAAGGGACCTTAAAGATCATCCAGTTCCAACCCCACTGCCATGAGCAGGGACACCTTTCACTAGACCAAGTTGCTCAGAGATACATCCAACCTGGCCTTGAACACTTCCAGGGATGGGACATCCAGAGCTTCTCTGGGCAACAGTGGAGAATTTACCTGTGCATGGGTTTGGGGGTGGAGATGCTCGTTGGGGTTTGTATGGCCATAAATGACTTCATTTCTAGCAAGCATTGTGTCTGTAGCTTGTCCTGGGTGGGGCTGTGCCTGCTGTAAGTCTGTGTCTGCATGGAGGTGTGGATTGTCCATCTCTTGGGCGAGTGTGGGGAGGAAGAGCTGTTTCTCTGGACTGATTGTGTGAATACCCCTTGTATCAACAACGCATCCTTAGAGGCTGAACTGCATCTCCTTTTTGGCTATTGAAGGGGTGTTATTGCTTTTTGCTCTATTTTTTCCAAGCCTTGCAGTGACTGCCACAAGAGGGAGGACATGGTAGGAGAGGGAGCAGGGCGGTGTCAGCTGGGGACACGCTCCAAGCCGGGTCACGGCTGTCAGCCAGCGACACGGCACGGCTGGCACGTGGGAGGATGCTCGAGACACTACAAGATCTGCTGAAAGTCAGTGAGATGCAGGGCTGGCTGAGATTCCTTGGCTTTCCTTTTCCTAGCCTTAGCACGCAGAAAAATCCAGGACTATTATAAAAAGAACACTCTCAAAGTATCGATCTTTTACATCTCTGTCAAGGTCTAAGCAGGAGGGAGGGCCCAGCTTTGGGGGAGCCATGGCATCTCTTCCTGTGGGGTATTTTCATGCCAGGGAAAGTAGCATCCTCAAGAGGAGCTTCAAACTTGAAAGAAAAGCAATGCCTTTGAATAGCACGAGGTGAAGAGGCAATCAAAGGCAGTGGAGGCGGCGGGGGGCTGCCACGGCTGCTCTGCACAGGGGCACTGCAACTCAGGCAAGAAAGCTTTGGGACAGTCCTGGGAGCTGCTTCCTGTTGCTAAATTGGCATGTGAGTGCTGCACCACTTTGCCTGACTAGTATTTCAGTTAAGCAAAGCAAATCCATTTGGGAGCTCAGAGAAGTGAAGGATTAATAGCAGGGAAAGGATGGATAAATGCTGCCATTGCTCTCTGCTCTCGCCTGGCAGCCTGGAAGGGTTATTCCAACCCTGGACTCTTTGTATGGTCTGTGAAAGCACTTCAGGCATGGGCTCTGGTAGTCCTTGCTCTCCTGGGGGCCACAGCTTTGCTTTCCTATGTCTGGTCTGCCTTGGGGACCTCTCTGCTGTTTTGGGTCAGAGATGATGCTCGATGTCAGGGCACCTGTGCCCTCTGCTTGTGTCTGTCCAACATCTGCCCTCTCACTCGGTGTAACACGCTGCCTCTAACCCACCACCTGCTCTACAACGTGCTTGGAAATATTTTGTTAAAATCCTTTTTTTTTCCTACAGAAATGTCACATCTACTGAATTGAGCGGTCAGTTCTGATGACATTTGATTTCAGAATGCTTCCTTGGCTTGATCTTTAACACCCCTGAAACGTTCTACTCTAAATATATTTTGGTTTGCAATTATTTAAACCATAAATTTGTTACATTCTGCCTGTCTGTCTAGCGAGAGAGATTAAAACCCTAAAAGGATTGAAATTGATATGGAATACTTCAGGTTTCAAGAGAGAAGCTCATTCACAAGGAATTAAAAGAAAGCTCACTGTGGAATTAAATGCATTTCAAAACTGCAAGTTCCCTAGATTTGGAAACATTTTGGTTTCTCTTCAGCTTCGTTTTCAAGAGCATAGGAGAGCTGGGATGTACAGCTGACAGCTGTCTTGTCTTCTGTTCAGTTCCTTCCTGCTCTGTGTTCCAATCTGCTGAATACCTAGGGAGGGAGCTGCTCTGAATCCAGGATTTCTCTCCCAAAAAGTGCTGTCTGGGAGCAGACATGTAGTGCTGTGCCAGAGGTGCAGATGTGCAGGGAGGGTCTGGGCCGTGGAGAGCCTGTTGTGCTCTGAGATGAGTTCATAGGACTGGGTGGGATAAAGGGTGACAGGATCACTTTCAACTTGTGACTCTAATGAGTGATAGTGGCAACCTTTTGGAGAGGGCTCCCTCTGTGCCTTCATTCAGTGATGAATCTTTGGCCCAGATCAAGGCAGGTACCAAGATTTTAATGCCGTCTTGGATTTGGGTTTTGTCCCTCTACCAACATGTAAAAAGCTTGCTGAGAAATCCAAGTCTTAGGTGAGAGGGCGGTGGGTGATCATAAAACACATCAGGTCCCATCAGTCTCCAAGTTTCCTTTGGCTTGCTTTTTGTGAGGGTGTGGGCATTGTTGTCCAGTTCTTCTGGGCTGTTTCCAAGCCAGTGTCCTTGTTTTCAGCACCTTTGATTAAATCAGAAAGGCCTTCAGCCTGCACACCTTGGGACCAAAGCTGAGCAGCAGCCAAAGTCAGGCAGAGCGTGTCTCTGAAAAGATACTGTGCCTTGCCATGACCTCTGTGTCACAGGTGAGGCAGGTTCATGTCCTCCTCTGAAGTCCAGCAAAGGTGGTTGCTGGAGGCAGGTTGATGGACTAAAAGGACCTGCTTCCCTACTGCTGCTTCAAGCTTGTGTCTTGTCAGGAAGACTTTTTGGCATAGGTGTCATCCTTTTCCTTCACATCCTTCATGATAACAATTTTGCCTAGGCCACGTGGTCTTCAGCATATTAATCTGACCTGAGATATCTTCAGCACCTCTTGCCTTACTCCATCTTCTCTTCTCCAGGAGCTACCTCTTTCCAGAACATATTTTCTTCTTGCTGCCTACACTGTTTGCTTCATCCCTTTTCCTCAAGTCTCAAGGTGGAGATTTTGTCTTTTGTTTTGTATTTAGACCTGAGGCTTGCTGCTGACACTGGTAGTAGAAAGTTGTATTTCGGCTCAATGCTACATTTTGCCATTCTGTCACCGCACTGTCCTATGTGGACTGGGCTGTAAACCTCTCTCTAATTTATTACTTTGCTTTCTGTGTTCCTCATCTTTACTGCAAATTGAAAACATGTCTCTGTAGGGTGCTCCAACCAGAAACAGGGGCCTTGGTGATTGTAATGTTCCAAACAATTCATTTCAAGCACCAACGTGATGATTATAGTTTGTCGTTTCTGGAGAGTAGTTAAACCTCATGTAATGAGGTTGCCAATTATCCCCTGTACTCCCCGATGTGCAGTGACAAATCAGAGCTACTTGGTGCACATAAGTGTGTGTGTTTGTCAAGCCTGTGGCCTGTCACCCACAGCAGCCCCACTGTGGGAGACAGGGAGGATGCTTGATGCCTTGGCATGGGTGTTGAGTGTTAAAAGGTGGGAAGTCAAGGGATTGGTGGGGGTGTTGCTGAGCTTTGGGACATCTGCCTGGGTCCCTTGCAATCTGTGGATGATCCTATGACTGATGCTGCATGTGAATGGTCTGAAGAGTTGGGTTTAAAGTGCTTCAGCAGTAAAAAGAGGTGTCACGTTCTTTTCAGTGTATCTTGCCATGCCAGTAAGAATTGCTCTTCTGCCGTCATTTCTGGAGCAGATCAGGTGCATTAGGATAAGGATGTTAAATGCGCTGGTCCTTCCGAGAGTCTGGCACAGCTTGTGGGTTCTCCAAGTAGACTTTTGACTCCAAAAGACCTTTCCATTCCCCCCTTTGGCAGATGTACTTCAAATGTTTATCATGACTTCTGCTGGGATCGGCTCCAGTGGGGAAGTGACATCCTTAGCTGTTGTGTTCCCCAGGGCTCCACTGTCCCCCATCAGACATTTTCTATTCCCCCTCTATACCCAGCACCATATGCCAGGCAGTTGAAAGCATGTCACTCTAGTCTACTGAGAGATTTTTAAACTTCACTGCTGACTTTTAATATCTTGTTCCCAGAGGTATTTCACCCCAAGAACTGAGACAGATAAGGCAGCAGCAGGTGTCAAATGATTGATCTTAACAAATGACAGCAGCAAGATGAAAGTATATTCATTTCTATGGGGAGCCTCCTGTCATTTCCCTTAGAAGATGAAAGGGAATGAGCTGACCCTGGCTGAGGAGATGGTGGAGGCTGCCAGGCATTGCTTGAGTTGTCTGTGCACTGGGTTTTGTGTTACACCTACCTGCTGGTAAGAGACCTGTTGCAGTAGACAGTGGTCAAAGAGGCAGTGGGAGACAGTTCCTGTCCTAGAAAACTCACAGGGAGGAGATGCAATGATCATGGAATCATAGAATCACAGAATATTTTGGGTTGGAAGAGACCTTAAAGGTCATCTCGTTCCAGCCCCTGCTCTATGGGCAAGGACACCTTCCACTAGACCAAGTTGCTCAAAGATGTGTCCCACCTGGCCTTTAAGACTTCCAGAGGCGTCCACAGCATCTCTGGGCAACCTGTTCCAGTGTCTCACCACCCTCACAGTGAAGAATTGCTTCCTTATATCTAATCAAATTCCTTCCTCTTTCAGTTTAAAGCCATTACTCCTTGTCCTATCACTACCTGCCCTTGTCAAAAGTCCCTCTCCAGCTCTCTTGTAGCCCCTTTAGGTGATGAAGTGGTGTGACTCGTAGCCCAGCACTGCCAGGCAAGGCAGTCACAAGGGGCTCCTCTCTTGTGTAAGACAGCGCAATAACTCTGCAAAATTTTTGCTGTCCACCCCAAGCACAGAAGATGGATTTTGACCTTGGTAGTGCATGATGGCTGGGTACCAGCCTTGCCAACTTCAGAAATAAATGTGCATGATCTTTAACTCCCTTCTGCAAAAGGCAGGCTGTCATCACTATTATTTGGTGGATGAAGTTAGAAGTAGACCTTTGTGTCTTTGGAGTAGAATTGGCACAAAGCTACATCTTGAGGAATCCATTAATCTTGAACAAACTGAACTCCAGAGGCACAACAGGCATTAATACCTTAAATATGGCTTTTCAAGCTCAGCACTGCTAAGTCCCCTCTTGCATTTTCTATCTTTTTCCTGGCAAGAAGGGGAAATTCTGTAGGTGGCCACCAAAGAACTGAAGGAGGCAGCAGGTGGCTTCTGAAATTTATCCATGCCTGAATTCCCCCACCCCCATTCCTCCCACACAGTATTTTTTCCTTTTTTTCCTTCCCCCACCACCCTGTTCTACTAAAAATTACTATGCCTCTTGCACCTCCATTATGTTCAGCAAATCCTCATGAAGCAAGAATTTTATACAGTATGGAAAAACATTTGTGATATAAAGAGACCTGAAACTGTGGAGTGGCCCTTTCCAAAAAGGTTAGATCTAATCTAATTATAACCATTTTTCCCCTCTCCCCAAGAAAGAACCAAGGGCACCCAAGCAGAGCCTTGACAATGAGCTGTGCATTGACTTACTGAGGCCAGTGCAAAAAAAAAAAACCTAAGGGAAAACAGAAGCCAACACCAGGGAAATGTCATCTGCCAGACCCTGGTACACCATAGGGGATGCGAGGGATGGATTTTAAAATGCAAATAGGGGTCTGCTGAGGCTTCACTACACTTCAGCAAGGTAATTTTGAAACTTAATGATTTTCACATTTAATTCAGGGAGAAATTAGTCATCAGGTATTGAGACAAAGCAAGGCTCTCTTCTGTACTGGGATCCTCTCCTCTTCAAGCTGTGTTATCTCGACAATAATTAAAATGTGCGCTGAAGTAGAAAATGTGCGATCTGATTCATTAGCGTGATTTCCCTTTGTAAGGTAACTCGTGTTTGCTTATCAGAAACTGAGACAGGCTTGGAGGAGAGAAGACTCTGGACACTAATGATTTGGGAGGGGGTAGCCAAGGGATCATGAAACCAAAGCCGTGTGTGTGTTCATCCTACACAGTGAACAGCTCAGCACGTCCTCTTCCCTCTCAGGTGTCCTTCTTGGGGCTGTCCTGTGCAGGGGCAGGAGTTGGACTTCAGTGATCCTTGTGGGTCCCTTGCATCTCAGGATATTCCATGATAACAACAGGTTACTTCTTTTTTCACCGTTCTGGTATCTGAATTTTTAGATGGCACTGTTTGGGCGTTTCCTTTTGTTCTGGCGTTGCCACATTGCAACCAGCTTGTCTGTGCAGGCAGTAAATGACTCCTGATTTGAAGCAAGTTTCCCCTTCAGGAGAGCAGAAAGGCACCTCCAGCACCTCGAGTAAAGTCTGCACAAACACATCTCTCCCTTTTTCCTCTCTTCTAGTGATCCCCAAAGTAACTAAGCACTTGCTCTCCAATCCTGTCTTCACCTGTATCATCCTGGCAGCCTGCATGGAGATCGCGGTGGTGGCCGGGTTCGCTGCCTTCCTTGGAAAGTACTTGGAGCAGCAGTTCAACCTCACCACCTCATCTGCCAACCAGCTCCTGGGTGAGTAACCACAGGGGCCACCAAATCTCCAGCATCCAAAGGTATTTAAAAGTGTTCAGCGTGGCTGGTAACTGCACCCAGTTTCACTGGTTAGGCTGCCCATAAAGTGACTTGGCTGACATCTAGAAATGTGTCCGTGAGCAGGAGGGGTGGGATCCAGCTGTGCCGTGGCTGCAGAGCACACAGGAGATCTCCAGCATCCTTTCTTCTCAACTGTGCTCTCCAGTGTATCCTGATGCCATCACTTCCCCTGCAGCCGTGACCATTGTGTTAGAAGTAGTCTGGGACAGCCAGGATATGAAAGTCTGTGATAGCCTTAAATGCAGCAGAATTGGGCCATTTGGTTGCCCAAGGCTGCAGTGGCTCTCTGCTTGTTCAAGTTCCCCAGAGTTCTCCATTCCACATCCATTTGGGTTAGGAAGCCCAGTTTCTCCTGTTGGTCACTCCTTTTCCCTTGGCCTGGAAATGATGGGATTGCCATCAGCAGCTAAAGTACCTGACTTAGTGCAGCTTGGTTGTCTTTCAAATGCCCCTTCTCTCTGACCATTCCATGCTGCTGTAGTTTCTCATTTATATATTTCTCAGTGTTCATTTGTTCCCTGTCAGGACACTGATGGCAGAATCTTCATTTATTTGCTGCTGCTGCTCATTCCCAAGCAGGCCCAGCCATTTGTTTATGACAGCCCTTCTCTCAGCAGCACCCAATTAAGATATCTGCAAGTTGATCTTGGATGATCTGCAACCAGAGCTCGCCAGATGGGCAGCTGGCAGTGATCTGTCAAAAACTGGGACATCAGGAAATGGGTGGATCTTAATATCAAAATAAGGTGTTTGCAAGCTGCTCTCCTGACAGTTATTTATTTTCCTATTAAACTCATCAATATCTTCTGGTTTTGCCCTGGTTTCCCAAAAGAAACAATCCCCTGCTGTCAGCCTTGCCTCCCCCAGCAACACCAGAACTCGCTAGTGAATTTTAGTATGATTGGACAGAAGCCCAGAGGTCTCAAAGATGTTAGGCTCTTCTATCTTTTCTGAAAATTAAAGGCTTGGCAAAAGAAAGCAACTTCACTGTTGATCCACTGGGAGAAAGAAAAAAGCTGTTTGGTGGGAGTTGCCTGGGCAGTGGGAAAGGAGACTTTGATACCTCTGTGTTTCTCGCAGCAACTTGTTTAAAAAAAGTTGTTACCACATTTCCCACATGGCATCTAGGAGAGTCCAGAAATGCCAGGATTGGGATGCTCTTCTAAGCTTAGTCTAGGTAGGTGAGATCTAGAGTATAACTGACAGCAAAGGTATAATAGTGAGCCCAAACAAACATGGTGTGATAATGCCTGTCTGTACCTGGAAACGGAGTCACTTCTGGCGGTGATTTTGTATCTTACAGTTTAAAATTCTTTAAGGGAAAATTCGTATTTTCAAATGCAACTCTTGCCTAGTCTCTGAAGTTCAGACTGCTGTGAATTATACCAAGCAGGGCTCATCCAAAGCTTCTAGACAACTTGGAAAATTCTTTATTTTTCTGCCAACTGTTGCAGGAAGCATTAGAGAAGCTGCTGGTTAGGTTAGCTTGGGCCAATCTCAGCAAGTTTGGCATTTCCCTCCAATATGAATGAGAACTGGAAGAAGGTCCTGGTTCTTCTATTCAAAGCAGCATACCTATTTTTATCTGTTCCTCCTTTTTTTAGGCAAGCTCAGCTTGGTGCTGCTCCAGCAGTTGGTCATTACAGGATTTCCCCATGCACAGATCTTGCTGCTGGAGCATAAAACTCTGTTGTAGTGTAGTTCACTGAGCCTTACTCCTTCTTGCTAACTGATTTTTCCTCTTGCAGGGATGACAGCAATTCCATGTGCATGTCTGGGCATATTCCTGGGTGGCCTCTTGGTGAAGAAGCTCAGCCTGTCTGCTCTGGGAGCCATCAGGATGGCCATGCTGGTGAACCTGGTGTCCACAGCTTGCTACGTGTCTTTCCTGTTCCTGGGATGTGACACAGGACCTGTGGCAGGGGTTACTGTTCCCTATGGAAACAAGTGAGTCCCCAGACAGTTTCAAGGTCTTACAGAGCTTTACCAACATAAATCCGTGTTATTGTCCTCAACAGGCAGTGCTGGCCCTCAGACAACCACAGAGCAAGCATATAGAATGCAGTTTGATACAGGGCTCTTACTTTGGGATGTTTCCATGCCACTCCTTGCTGTGAGAGTTGAGTACCTGCAGCTGACTGATTTTAGTTTTACTAAAATCGGTCAAACTGAATCAAAAGGTGCCAGACCTGCTTCTGTGCCCATGGCCACCTGTGTAGCACTTAGTCCATCACACCCTCTGGTTTCCCCTGGCAGTGAGGGACATGCAGTGCTTTGTACACTGATTTAAATGCCCGAGGGGAATTTGTAGAATCAGGTTTTGGATGCCTGGAAATACAGATATGGTGAAGAGAGACTGTTTGTGGCTCCAGGTCTTTTAATGTGAGAAATGAGGCCCATGGTGCCCTGTAGCACTCACAGGATTTGGAGAGAGTTATTCTGTGTTTTCTTTTCGAGTGCTCCTCAGTATGCAGTGGCGACTCTTTAGAAGATGAAAACTTCAGCCTCTCAGCTCCTCACAGTATTACAGAAAAATACAGAGCAATCTCTTGATCATCTCTTTGGGCTTCCCTGGGGCTTCTCATTGGGGTAACAAGGCAGCTGAAGCCTTGCATTAGATTCCCTGTTGCAGAGGGATAGTGGCCATGGCATTTCAGTCCCCAGGGAGAGGCTGTAGCCTGGATTTCTTAAAGCTGGAACCCAGCTAGCCTGCCCACTGCTTTTTTGTAATGTGTTTGTCTTAACTACCCCCTCAAAGCCATCTTTGTGAAGCAACAATTGAAAAAGCTGGCTGATATCATCACACTGTCCATTAATTTCTCTTTTTGTTTCTCTTAACAGCTCAACTCCAACCTCATCTCTGGACCCATATTCCCCCTGCAATAACAACTGTGAATGCCAAACTGATTCCTTCACTCCAGTCTGTGGGGCAGACGGGGTCACATACTTATCTGCCTGCTTTGCTGGCTGCAGCAGCACGGTGAGTGGGCTTTCCTCGGGACCTCTCGCCTGTAGGAACAATTCTGAGAGCTCAAGTGAGCGAGGTTAGTGCGTGTCTGGTAGAGTAGCTCACCCGCAGCCAGCAGTGGTTGCACCCTCAGTAGCTGACCGCACACCTCAGGTGGGCGTGAACCCTTGTCGTTTCTCACTCTGTTGCATAAATGCCCACTCTCTCTGGCAGCAGTGCCAGGGTTACCCATGGAGCAGGATGGGATTTCATATCCTTCTCCTCCTCCTCTGGTCTTTCTCCTCAGCATGGAAGCAAGGAACATGGAGATCTGTGCGGTTGTCCAGTGGTAGAACCCAGATTCTCTGTGAGAGCTTCCTGGCCCAGGCTGTGGGACCAGCTTCTCTTTTGTCCTGCAGCTCCTCATCTCCCCTCTTCTCCACCTGCCCATGTTTGCCCTGCCCAATCCTTTTATTCTTTTTCCTCTTGCTCTTTCCCTGAATCTGGTTCCTAGACACCTACAAGCAGATTCTGGTTTTATTCACCCTTTTTTAAGCTTTCCTTTCTTTCCTCTCACTTCTCTCTCTTTCCTTGCTTTGCTCTGAGCCAGCAGCAAGAGCAGTTGTCAGGGGAGCAGATGCTCCATCCAAAGGCATTCTGCATTTTTCAGTTCTCTATATCTAAGAGTTTATTTCCCTTAGAAAACTCCTAAAGACCAAACCATCTCTGTGTAAAGAAGATGTGGGGAATTTTTAACAGTATCTTAAAAGCCAGCTTTTTCATTTTTGCTGCTGAAATGTTAATGTCTTCTGGGTTAGGCTGAAAATGAGTGCCTGCTGCTCCCGTGGGTGGGGACTGGTTGAATTCCTGCATCCTTGCTCCTTGCCTGGGGCCGTGCCAGGCATGGTGATCGCTGCAGCACTGCCTGTGTGGAATCTGTTGGAGGTCAGCCTGGTCAGAGGGGCTGTTTGTGGCAGCAGGGACATCAGTGATCACCACATGCAATCCCTCCATGGCTTCATCGTTGCTTTTTGAGGAGACATCAGACCTCCCATGCTGTGCTAAAGAGACAAAGCACACGCCAGTGCCACTGAGCAGAAGTGCACACTCGCTGCTGGCAGCGCAGCCTCACAGCCCAGATCACCCGGGAGCTTGTCCTGCTTAAACCTCTTCTCTCCTCCCTTCCCTCTACAGCCTCAGAGATGCAGGCATCCCTTTGAGATACCACAGTTTCAAAGTGCTTTCAACAACCCCACAAGGATCTCCATGAGTGTGTGACATATGTGAAGGTGTTACCTCCTGCCCTCTTCTTCCTCCTCCTCCCAATAAGTCAACACCTGGGGCGGCAGCAGGATGATTTTAACAAGAAGCCAGCTTGTTTTGAACACAGAGAATAGTGTCTTGCCATTTCACCAAGCCTTTAGCAAGAATACATCTAGTGTGGTCCGTGGCTGGAGTGTGGGAGTGACCTCCTCACCGTGCAGTTCAGGTCAAAGCTCTGGCTCCTCTGGAAGGAGCATGGTAATGAAAATTCAGCTCTGCCTCCTCAGTCTGCAGCTGCCTGACCTCATGCTCTGCAAGAGAAAAACCTCTCAGCAAAAAACTCAGTGTTCCTCACCCTCTCTCTTACTCATTCCTTCTTATTTTGCCTTTTCGTCATCATCCTGGAGTTCTTTTCATTGCAGTAACTTTTTGAACACAAATTAGTGAAGCAATATAGTATCCTCTGGAAAAGGCATTATCAAGAATTATGGACCAGTTTGGCCATGCAATGGCCTTGAGGCAAAGCCAAATTGCCAAACCAAGTTTTAAACCCATAATCCAGGTAATGACCTGTCTAGAGGGTCTTGTGAATGTTATATGCTTGTGATGAGCCAAGGGTTGCTTTTTACTGGGACATAAAATTCTCTGAATGCTTTATTTAACTTTACTACATTGGATGTTTCTGACTGCCTTGCTCCACTTTTCCTCTGTGAACAATTTCTAAAAGTGATATGTAGCTCAGTTAGTTTTTTCTTTTTCATTTCTTCTCTCTTACTGAACTGGTTTCAGAGGTGCACCTGTCTAAAAAGCCATAGGAATATCGGTGCTCATAGGCAGAGCTCTGGCAACCACAGGAATGTTTCTTTCAAGCCATTCCTGGGAGTGATGCTTGCATCTTCCTTGCTGGATGCCATTGATCCTCTCAGCCTTTTGGTTGGAGACACATGAATTCCAGCCTGGCATTACTGCGCTGACATCTCACAGCTTTGCATTGAAGTACCAGCCTGTCCCTTCCCTGCCAGAGGCAGGGCTTAAGGAATGAGTAATTAAAAACATGCGATTTGCATAGATAATCACGACAAACTCAACATGCTGTTAAAGGTGTAAACTCTGCATCTGTGTAGCCTCACATGCACGCAGAAATCTGGGTGTGCAAGCTGCTGGGCTGCAGAGGGTTGTGATAATATGTGGTTGAATGCAGTGGGGTTGCAGACAAGTGGATCTATAGCAATTTTGGCACAGGTAGCAAAAAGTTGCCTCTCCACAGGACAAAGTTATAACTCCATCTTTGATGTTTCCTTGTTTGATGTCTGCGGGTTGTGTAGTGTGTGAGTAATAAAAGATCAAAGATCTCCCAGGTAAGGATGAGGTGCAGTGCTAAGGAAGCAGATGTAGTTGGTTCAAACTACTGGCACTGCTTCGGGCCAGCACCTTGATGCAAAATTGTTGAAAAAGTGGATCGAGAGGCAAATTTTCAGGCAATGCAGGTGGGGATCTGCCTTGTGGTTTGTAAAAAAATCGCACCAATGGGAGGAGAATCTGCCCCACCATTGCCAGAAACAGGTACTTTCTGTCCCTTGATAAGAACCCACAGAAAATAAGCACACAGTTCTGCATGTTTGCTGTGATAGGAATTTTGTCCCAGGATTTTTCAGTGCAGATATATATTTGTCTAGACTTAGATGGGTTTTGATCCATGGGGCTGAGTCCAGGTTGGTGGATAGCAATGCACTGCAGTAAGAGCCAGGACCTACCAATTCCTGTTGTCTGTGCAAACACCACATCAGTGGTGCTAATTGTGACCATTCTGAAGCCTTCAGGTGTCAGCTTCTAACTCACAGCACAGGAATTTGTTATGTTAATTACTGCTTGCTGTCCGGAAAGGCACTGCATGTCTGCTCCAGCTCTCCTGGAGTTCTGCACAGCAGTCTCTCTTGCCCTCTATGCACTTAGTTGGAAGAAAATCATTTGACTCCTAAGCAGAAGAAAGAGATTGGTGTCAGAAAGGTTGGAGTAGTATCCTTGGCGATCCTTATCTTAGGAGGCAGTGAACCAGTAAGTGTGCTTTTGTATGGTCCTAAGGGAACCCCCCTTTGCTGAAAAGCAAAGGAATTTCTGCTCAAACATGGTAGAGGGAAAGGGGAGGGGATTTAGCTGGTTTTCAATATGTTTTATTTTATGGTGTTACTCCTCATACAAGCATGTGACCTGCAAACCCAGCGGGCTGATGAAGAAAAGCCATGAATCATTTATGACCGTTTCATTCTGTATTCGTTAAGGGATTTCTTCGTGGTATTGTGTGCCTTAATTGCACTGCCATCCCCCACTCAGAAATTCAGGAGGGTGAGTTGGAAAATAAGAAAAAAAAAATAGTAAATCCTTAAATCTGTGACTGGCAAACAAAGCTTCTTTTCACATCCTGCACTTGCCGGGCAAGATCAAAGCAAAATGCAGTTATTCCACCCTCCTTCTGATCACATATTGATAAAGTTTATCTCGCTTGACTTCAGCTCTTAGCTCAACACAAATCCCTCTGAACCAGATGTCATTTATTAGCCCTGGAGTGCTTTTGAGTCCGACAGTGTCTGTGGTGCCAAGCGGTGGTAGTTCAGCCCTCAGTGAGCTGCAGCACCCATCTTGGGTGGCTCCTTCCCAGGATTCAGGGTGCTGGAAGCAGGCACCAAACCTGCAGCCAAGAACAGGGCTGCAGATTTACCTGCATTTAACGTACTTCAGTTTAATTGCAACAGCCAAGAGGACGGAAGTAAATAAGCAAGTAATTAGAACCATAATTGGGGGATCTTGCTTGTCGCAGAGACACAGATTGTTTCTTTATTCCCCTCCAAAGAGGTATAACTTGGTAATAATTTTGTTGCAGTGACATTTATGGGAGAGACTTGAAAGGAGCAGAAGAAAAGAAACAAGCCAAGGGACAGCTTTCCCTTGCTGGTAGCATGCAGTCAGAGCTGGCGCTCCTGAAATTCTTTCCAAACCCCTCCAAACAAGCACTTAGGAGTCACTTAATTGACCATTAGAGGATTAGGAGTTGCTGTTGACAAGCCCCCATTACAGAGGTCAATGATGGGGATCACAGCTCTCTTTTCTCTCCCTGTGCTCCTCTGCAGAACCTCAGTGGCTGTTCGTGCCTCACCTCGGTCCCTGCTGAAAATGCCACCGTGGTTCCTGGCAAATGCCCCAGCCCCGGCTGCGAAGAGGCCTTCCTGACATTCCTCTGCGTGATGTGTGTTTGCAGCATGATCGGGGCCATGGCACAGACACCATCAGTCATCATCCTCATCAGGTAGGACCACGGCCGGGGAACCAGTGATCCCAGAGGGGCTACTCGGGCAGTGGGAGCAGGGCTGGAGGGGCCATGGGAACCACTGGGATCTGCAGGGAGCTGAGGGTCCCATACAGCCTGGAGACCATAGAAGCCACGGAGAAGTGAAAAGCTGTGGCAAAGGCTAGCTTTGGTCAATACCCACCTGTCCAGAGTTTTAACTTCTCCCACTCTGGACCAACTCCAAGGACATAAAGAACTTGGAAGTCTGAAGGACATGTCTTGGGTTAAGCCAATGTGAATAGGTGGGCAAAAGTAGCTTACTCAAATAACTGACCTTGTGTTATTTCCAGACACATGGAACACTTCATCTTATGATATACATATATATCTAAGCCCACATTTATCCAGAATTACTTAGCTGTCCAGGCTGTCACTTACTGAGAATAATAACCAGAGGCATAAATAGCAGATCCATTCTGCTGCCTGGAAAATTCCAATAAAATTCAATCAATAAGGTCTGTATTAGAAACACACTCTTGAGTGGATTTTGGACAGAACAGCTCTGTGAGGGCATGTCTCCCTGCAGGATACAAAATGAGATATTCCACCTACTAGTTTGCTTCTCTCTTTGCATCTCCAGTAGCTAAAGGGAAATCAAATTTCTCATGATAAATATTGTGGCAGAAGTAATTTGAAGTTTGAAGAGTTCTTTGTTCAGGGAAGCTGCCAGCACCTTTAGGATCGTGCATGGAGACATCTTAGTGTTGCCTTCAAATGAGATAAGCCTGGCATCAGCCAGGAAGAAGAATGCAAGAGAATAAGAAAACTGAAGGGAATATTAAACATACTCATTTCACAGCTGTAGGAAATAAACAATTCACACATCCAGATTAGTAACTTCACTCAGAGTCACTGATAGCTACCAAAAGGTACAGGGAAGAGCTCTTAACCAAGAGAGCACTTCTTGCATCGCCTAAAGGGAGTTTTGATGTATGCATGTGTCCCTGGCTGTCCAGGGCAGGACAAGTGGCATTGGCAGCTTCTATGATTATTTAAAAATGAACCCAGTGTATACAAATTAGGTGCTTTGTCTGGGCAAGTCATTTGTTCACAGGAAAAGGAGATGTCTCCCAGGTGGCACCATTTTTACCTCCACTCTAAGGCATGGGAGTTGACTTTGGTATTAAATACAGAAAAGTGAATGGAAGGACACCACCACCAATTAAAAATCTACTGTGAATATTTCACATGATAATTTATTTTTTCCATAAAATAAACTTTTAATACTCCATTTCCTTCATTTCCCACCCAACTGTAGAATCCTATTTGAGCCAAGCCATTAACCACTGGAACATTTTTCCAAGGTCAGATATTTCCTGGCATAAAGGCTTTCTATAGAGCCTGGGGGTCTGCCTGAAAACTGCTGAAATTCATCCAGATGTCACAGGTTCATGCAGGAGTCATGGTGTGGTGTTACGTGACCTGTGAATGTGTGAAAGGAGGGCAGGTGATCAGAAGGGTCTCCTCTTAACTTAAAACCACTTGCTGGTTCTGTTTTATCAGTTTTGTCTGATGCCCCTACAGTGTATTCATATAGAGGACCCCCTCTGCCACCATGGATGCCACTAGCAGTGATGCCTGCAGACCTCTGTAAGGAGCTGATGGAAGAGGCAACTTAAACCTTTGAAGTTCCCCTGTGTGATGAATCTATTCCCATGGGGATCACTGTCCTGCTTTCCCAGCCTTTAGATTCTGTAGGAAATAAAATGCTATTATAAGACTCAAGACCAAATTAATGGCTTCTAAAGTTCCAAAGGCTTTGCTGAGCCTACCCCAAGAGGATGATGCCAGTAGCATCCTTGAGCTGAGCAAATTAGAAAGCTGTGGATGGTTTTTTTAAAGCGCCTTCGTAGGATAACCCTAATACAATAGTGGGTTGTGTTCGTAGCAAAAGACACTGCAAACACTGCTTTCCCAGTATAAAAAAAAATTGCATGCTAAACTCACACCCACGAAAACTAGTGTTGAGCACTTCCTCACTGGAAGACTTGAATTAACAGGCTGACTGAACCTTTTGGTCTGTCATCCTCCCTTTCCTCTCTTGTTCTCAGTAGTCTGGGGAGTTTCAGAACCAAAAGTTTCCTCTCCCTCCAATTTTGAACATCTGGAGCCTTGAAAACATGACGGGGAGCTTGTAAACAATGATTTAATGGGATGGGAATTACATTTTTCCCCACCCAATGACAAGATTAGCTGCTGTTATTAATGACTTAGCTAATTCCTGAACCTATCACATATGCAATTACTTTTGGGGCTGTAGGCAGTTCGGGCAAAGGCAGAAGAAAAACCCCATTAATGACTTTTCGAAAGGTGGTGGTGGTGGCATCCTGGCTGACAGCACAGAATGGCCAGGGGGTGTGTTAATCAAAGCAGAACAACAGGAATTGATTTCACTCTCTCCCTCCCTTCTCCCTGCAGAACCGTAAGCCCTGAACTCAAATCTTACGCTCTTGGGGTGCTTTTCCTGCTGCTCCGGTTGCTGGGTAGGTACAAAAATTGTATGTCCTTTTCTCCCATCCTTTCCTCCCTCATGGTAAACTCTGTGTTTAACATGCAGAAGTTCATTTCTATTCCATGTAGTACTGTGGCTGTCGTCAGTGTGGTCTGACACACTGGGGTCCAAGCCCTCTCTGTGAAGGATGTTGCATCAAGGCTCCTGAAGGCACTTTTCCTGCCATTTGTATTGTACTAATGGAAGAAAATGCAGTGTTGCATGAGAAATGACTGTTTCTCCCATGGTCCCACACAAACAGTTTCTCTTCTATAGCTGTTATTAACGTGTCAGCAGCTTGCAAAATTACTGCTGTATTGCATATTGCTGAAGTAGAGGGATATGTATTTTCACCCTCCTCTGAGGGACAGGACCTGTGTTACATGGTGTTTTTGTCCCTTCCTTCAGGTCTCTCGGAAACAAAAACAGAAAAATGAGACAGGCTGAGTCCTTGTATCCTCCTGTGGGTTAATATTCCATTAAAATGCATATGGTTGCTCCTCTGGACCAGTATGTGCTTCTCATGTATGAATTAAAAGGAACACACCAGGCTGTTGTTTGCCTGCTGTTTGTTTCTGGGTGGAATTTTTTCCCCCTCTGGAAGAGATGGCTTCTATTTTAAAGCTCTTCCATTTCAGCTCATTAATCTCAGTGATTCAGGACAAAATCCTCTGATCCATCATTGTGTGGGACCTTCTCATGCCCAGGGTTTCTGCATGTTGTGGGAGTGGAATTTACTTTCTTTTAGCAGCACCTTCCCTGCATGGCTCCCCCAGTCCCAAAGGAATGAGCAAAGTGCCATCACTGAGGCTACAGCAAGACACTGGGAAGTACAGGACTGAAAATCCAGCAGTACCATACATTGCTTTGAATAAATTACCTCATTTATTTACTTACTTTTTTAACACCTTATTCCCCATTAGCTGAAAGGGAAATGGTGCTCCCAGACCAACTTACAGTACAGCTGATTAGATTTCCATTGTTTCTGGTGAAGTAGCTGCAGTGATACAAAAAGCTCCATCAAGTAAACTTATCCAGAGCTCAGATAAAGGGAAGCTTCTGGGATGACTTGGGTCAGCTCTGTTTCAAGCTTTGCAAACACAGCATTTTCTTTAGCTGCTGGTGCTGCTCGTGGGTTTTGACCTGTCTTCAGCACTGACTGGATGAATGTGGAGAGTCAGCAGGCGAGTGTGGGAGGAGGATGGCTGTGGGCTGTTGTTTCCAAAGCAAAAAGTACTTAAGGGGAGAGATTATTCTCTTTTCTGCCTTCCTTTTGAAAGAGAGAAGCCTCCTGAGATAGCGGCGTCCTGAATTCTGCTAAAACCACGCTCAGACATATATGCTTAAGTTGAACAGATTTCTTCTTTTCTTAACAGTAAAGAAGCCATAGTAAGAATTGAAACTCAAATCTTTGTATGTTGCTCTGTCACTAAGGGATTCCCATAAAATAAGAATACATCCTGAAGCATATCAGCAATGTACCTTAGAACACACAGAAAATGAAGAGAAAGGTACTTTTCAATATGAGCAAGAGTATCCAAATTGTGCCCTTAACAACCTGAGGTTTGAGAATAGCTTTACTGATTTATTTTAAAAGCTTTTCAGTTCACCTTTAAGCTTTGACTTAAGAAGACAGTGATGATAGCTGTTTCTTGAACCAAAGGAGAGTATTAAATACAGGAGGTATGAGACCCAAAGGTGCAATCGTAGCTAATAGATTTCAATAAGACAGAAGCAGCTTTTTTATGCAGCGCTACAGTTTCAGCAAAGAAATATATATATATATGAAATTTTTGTAACACTTTGCAGTAAGAGGTAAGACATGATTGACTCTCTTTAATATTCACTGTAATAACATGAAACATGACTGAATTCTCCTGGTATCCTCCTGCATGTGTTGTCTTATTTCATAGGAATTCTGCTGTGAGAGGGCAGTGGAACAGTGTCTTCATATAAAAGCATTACTGCAGTTTCTCAGAGAAGAGAGTAAAGCAGTGCCATTGGAGCCAAAGGCATGGAATGGAATTGTCTGGAATGGCAAAGAGTTTCAGACTTGTAAGATCCTGGATGCATCCTTTCTGGATGGTGTTCACCATGCATCCTAGTAAAGCCTCTGCTTACCAGGGCACTTCCTTTGATTTTTTCCTACATGCCCGTGTTGTTGTTTTCCTCTTCTTCTAACGTGACAAAATCCCAGGAGTTTCCCTCTCAGGAGTTTCCAATCTACAGTGCAACCCCTCAGCTCCCTTCTCTTAGGGAGTCTTGTCCTCTCCTCTGCTAAAAACAACCCGAAACACTCACTGGTTGCTAAAAGTTTTCCATATCCACATCCACGCCTGCATTCACCGAGGAGTAGCTTTGGAGTTCAGTGAAAACAGGCCCTTCCTCAAGTCTTACGAGGAGCAATTTCCTGGCCAAACTATTGTGGAAAGCAGGCAAGCCAGCTGAAGTCAGCAGATGGGGATGGTAGCTCTCTCTGAAGTTCAGCCTGTACATCTCCAAAGCTTTGTATCAACACCTCTCAGCATGTTAACAAGGAGGCGCTCACACCTCAAATTATGATCCCAATCCATTTTTCTCTTGTTCCAGAAAGCACGAGGTTCCTCACTGCCGCGTCTGGATGTTACCCTCAGAGGTGCCATCCAGCAGCACAGTTTGTGGGCGCACAAGCTGCAGTCAGCAGCACATCCTCTTGCTTACCTGTGGCAGAAGCCCAGCTGAATTTTTAAAATCCAGGTTCAGTGTGTGCTTGTTCACAGGTTTCAACAATAAAAGAGTCTTTTAACTTATACGCAGAACCAGCCCAGTCTGGAATTTCCAGTCATTGAAATGACAAACTGAGAGCTAGCACTGACATTTTTTTCAGAACATAACCAGGTTTTTAGATGTGATGTTTAGAAACTAGTGTTTCTAACAAGCAGATTGTCTTGCTTTCGTATCATCTGGTTTTATTTACTACATTTGTGCTATTAATGACTGGTTAAAATGAGTACCAAAAGCCCATATAGCCTTTCTTAATTCCTGCATTTATTAACATAGAAGGAAGATCAAACAAAATCTGCAGAGCTCTAGTCATCAACAAAATAAAATAAAAAGATCTTAGTTACCACAGGGAACAGTGAAGACAACCAATTTATTTGTAGTCTTAGGATACACGTCATGAATGTCACTACTTTGCTCATGACAAGCTGAAGGAAGGTATCTTTTTTAAGCCTGGAAATCCAGGTTAATGATGAAACTGGATCTGAGATTAAACACTTTCCTGTCTAAAACCTGCAGTCCTTGTGTCTGTTTTCACGTATATTTATAGAGCCTCAGGCATCACAGCACCTATGGAGGAAGTGATACCATCAGGGGTATGTTGTGCCTACCTGCTGTTGGATTTCAGTAGATATGTTGCTCTCCTTTGCTTGCTGTCTTAACCCACAGCAGTTACTTTATCAATCAGGGTCTTTTCCCAAGGGTTATCTGCTTCCAGCCTCCCCCCATAAATACAGCAGAAGGAAGAGAAATGATTACATTATGTAGAATGTTCACATTTTCTTCTGAGTGCTTCACTCCTGGTGCACATGTGCTGGCTGGGGAGTGCAGAGCTGGAGCGTGGATGTACTAATCACCATCAGGGTAATGTGAAATGGGGAGGGGGGCTGCTACAGTGTCCCTGCAGGGTGGGGAAAAGTAAAGAAGAAAAACATTGGCTTTATTAGTTAAATGAGATTGGAGTGATTACTCTGCTTTAAGATTGCAGCTCTGCTGCAAGCTATGATTGAGAAACACTCATTGGTAGTTAGCTGCAGTGGCTGTGGGAGAATCCTGCTGCGATATTTCATTTAATGGCGCTCTGAAATTTTCCCTTCATTGCAGAATGCATCTCTGATGTCTTTCAGAGGTCATTGTTTCTTTTCCTTAGACCCAGAGAAAACCTTTCCCTGTGTCAGAGAAAGGTCCAACACTCTGTGTCCCAGCTGATTTCAGGCTCTGAACTGGAGAACTGTGGCATCCTTCGGGTGAACACCATAAAGTGCAGAGTTGCCAGTACCTAAACAGAGAGCAACCTGCAAGGCTGTCCTCCTCCTCTTTCATTTACCCCTCTCAGTCTCATTAGGCAAACAAGAAGCTTGATAAAAGCCACTTAAACTTGAGTAAAATCCTTGCTGCATGTTGATATCAGCAGGAATTCTTCCGTAGATGTTGAGTCCAAGCTAAAAACTCATCCACAGACTTGGTTTAGGTTGATTTAGAACTTTAAAAATTAGAATCACAGGCTGCAGCTGGGACCATTAACCTTGATAAAGTGCCCTCTTTCCTTTCACTGCAGTCACGTCCTCTCTCTTTATCATAAGGCTCATAAAAGCATAATTTGTCTCTCTTATTTTGACAGGTTTTATCCCACCTCCACTGATCTTTGGGGCTGGAATCGACTCCACGTGTCTGTTCTGGAGCACGTTCTGTGGCGAGCAAGGAGCCTGCGCCCTGTACGACAACGTGGTCTATAGATACCTGTATGTTAGTATTGCTATAGCCCTGAAGTCTTTTGCATTCATCTTATACACAACCACCTGGCAGTGCTTGAGGAAAAACTATAAAAGATACATCAAGAACCACGAAGGTGGTCTCAGCACTAGTGAGTTTTTTGCCTCTACTCTCACCCTAGACAATCTGGGGCGGGACTCGGTGCCCCAAAATCAACCACATAGGACAAAATTTATCTATAACCTCGAAGATCATGAGTGGTGTGAAAACATGGAGTCTGTTTTATAGTGACTGTGGAGGGGTGAACTATATTAATAATACAAGGGTCCTTTTTAATAAAAACAAGGAGAGAGCACGAATGAAGATACACAACTGCAAAACAACAACAGCAACACAGGAAACTTTTGTCTTTTTCTCAAAGTCAGACCCAGCCATGATTCTTGAGAACAGCATCTTCTGATGGGATCGCTTGTGACATCCTGCAGGGTGATGGAGAAAGCAGGGAGCCATTTGTGGCTGGGTACCAGCCCCCTTGATGACAGTACGAGCTCCCAAGGAGGGCATCTGCAGAGGTTCACTGGAGAGCTCAGCACATGGACAGGCTTGGGCATGAGGCGTAGAGAAAGCGAGGTGATGATGGCAATAGGTGTTTGCAGTTGCAAACTGGGGTCCTGGGGGTGTGTGGAGCCCCCACAGCGTGGGCTGAAGGGTTGGCCAGTCTGGGTGCTGCTGCTCAAACCTGCTGTGCTCTGCAGTGGTAAAGAGGGAGCGATGCTGGATTCGTTCCACCCGTCACACTCTGTCACCAGCCACGAGTCCACGATAAATACCTTGAAAGCTGCTGGAAACCTTCCCGGTGGCGAGCAATGCTGTCAGGGGTATCCAAGTCCTTCCAGCCCAGGCTTATTCGCAGATTGCAGCTCTGTGGCTGTCTGTGAATAGCTGCGCTCAGATCTCAAACCCAGTAGAGTTCAAGACATTTGCTCACACTTGCCAAACATGCTGTCATTTTTAAAGGGGGATGAGTTCCAAATACTTATCTGCGTAGTCCTCTAATAAGATGTTTTTTAAAATTACTTTCAGATCTACATTAACCCTTAATTGGCTGACACTTTTCCATAGGGAGGATTTATTTATGCTAGTTTGGGGAAGGATCCTGTTTAATTCACCCAAACGTAACGTGACTCAAGGGGTTTGTTTAATCCTCTGCGTTTTTTATCCATACGCCTTCATCCTAATATGCTACCAAGCCAATGAAGACACATAATATGTTTTTAAAAAAGAGAACGAATGCACTGTGTCTCTATAAAAACAATTGTCAGTTGGAGAATTATAGATAATATGATGATTTACATAATATAGTTTTTTCATATTCTATGTGACTCAGTGAATACATATATATGTGGAGAGGCTGTTTATGTTCTCTCCGGTTTTTAAAGATATATATATATATAATTTGCAATCTAGAAATTGTGTGGTGGATGTTTTCTTTAAAGTGTGTGTGTGTGTGTGTGTGTGTGTGTGTATGTGTACAAGATGAGAGGAATACTGACCTTAATCCTTTAACCCTCACAACTGGCATTTTATTTTCCACGTGAGAAATTCTACTGATTTCAGTGGAAGCCCTGTGAGGAAGACGGAATAACCTCCCCTCCTGGAAGCCACGTTTTGCCCCTAGATGTGGAAATAGTGTTCCTCTGGAAGGCTGGGTTATGGGAGCAGAGGCTGGCCAGCATTGAGCAACTCAAACTTTCATTCAGCTCCCTGGGAAGCATCCATGCAGGAGCAGATTTGGCTTTGTTCTTGCAATGCAGTCTTACCTAAGCCTGTAAAAATCATGGGGGAGCTTTCATCTGATTACAAGAAACATGGGGGTCAGGCTTATTTTGTATGCATATTTTTGTTTTCCAACACATTCCTACCGGGAAGCAATACAAATTGGTGGTGTCCGATGAATCTTTCCCCAGGAACCAGACCCACTTCCAATGGACTAAATGTCAGAAGGGTTTTAAGGGTTAGCATCATAACAAAGAGCTCCTTTTTTTTGTTTGACTTTTGAAGCTGTTGTGAACTTGAGGATGTTTAGAAAAAGTATCCTGGCATGTCGAGTCAAATGCTGGAGGTCACTTTCGTGCAGCTGGTGGAGGGGCCGATCTTCCCCAAGTCCTTGTCCATTGCTGGCAGTGGACACCCCAGACCTGGCACAATTACAGAGGGTTGATAACTTGCCACTCATATTCAACACCTTTTTAGCAGACTTTACTTTCATCTAGGCATTGCAACATGGGTGTGGGGTATCAGACTGCTTCCACTTGACTGACTTTACATGTGTCTTTGTAACTTATGCACAGCATTATATGTTCAGCAACAATAAGGGCAGGAAAAAAGGGTGTATCAAATAAACTCCACTGTGCCAAATACTCCACAAATATTGTAACTGCAGATATTTGATTCTTGGGTTTCAGCCATGTTAAGAATCACTTGATTGATGAAGGAGTTTAAGGAAAAAAAAGGGTTATTAAGCTATGCAGTGCCATTGTTACGCTGGGTGGTAAATGATGCTTTTTAGATCATTAGGTTGGTTTAGTATATCCTGTCTGCTAAAATAGAGATACTGCATCCATAAAACAATGAATTTACAAAAGGCACAGGGTGCATAACTGTCTCATAGAATATATATAATTGTCAAGTATAAGCCTTTGAAATCATTCTGTACAGTTCCCTTCATTCTGCAGATTTATTACTTAGACTGCTGTCTTTTCAAATGTTAGCTCATAATTTTATACTATACACACACATTCAGACTCAGAACACAAATGTCACAGAATAGAACCTTTCTAAAAGCCTGATTGCTTGAAATTCCATAACCCCTTTCACAGTTTCATGATTTTCCCCTCTGAAAGTCCAAGGTGAAGGAGAATAGCATGCTGACATGATGCAAACAAAACAAACTCCCAGTGTTCACAGGCTGTGGTTTGTCAGTACAGTCAAAAGTCCCCCTTGACCGGAGTTATAGAAACAGGATTCCAGGGCACATAATGGTTTCGTTTCTATTTTTGTTTATTTTTTTTCATTTGATCTCTTCTCTTAGTATGCATGGGGGATGCAGTTGAATGGGGTTACTTACATTATTTTTAAGCTCTAACTTGAAATTCGTATGTGGTTGTTATTTTATTTCTTTTGATAATGCAACTTTTGAAAAGCTTCCTCCCCATCCCACTCTTTTTTTTTTCCAAGGTTGTATCCAATGCCCGCATCATGAAGGGCTTTGCTGTCAGTGCTTTGGTATAGACTTAAGAACAGAGCTTTAGCTTAAAGAAAATACACAGACCAAAAGCTTCATCCATCCCAGCAGGCATTTTGGGTTTTTTTCTGATTTCAAAACCACAAGCCAGTTTTTCCTGCAACCCAGTTTTTGTTATAGAATAATAAATTAAGAGTGTCACACTCCTGCTTCCCAAATTGCAAGTATGGGCCTTTGCCTGTCAGCACTTGGCTTCCATTCCTCAACTGCCTTAACAATGCAGGAGACTTAAGAGCAAGGATGGAGTTAGAATGGAATGGTGGAATTTTTTTCCCCATATTCACAGGGAACTGAAATTCAGGGGTTTGTTGAGACCTCAGTCTCAGCAGAAATGTTATTTTGACATTTCCAAGCACTGTGTTCCCTGTGTGGCTGTCTGCTAAGGAATGGGATTTTTGAAAAAATAAATTACTTGAGAATCCCAGTCTTTCTGGGATTGCGCAGTGGCCTTGCATGACTTCAGGTTGGGGTTTCCTTTCCCTTGCACAGATCCCACCTTGGTGTGGCCCTGGTGAAATCAGAAGGGCACCCCAATCTAAAATTGGTGCAGATGACACTAGAATCAGTTTCTTTGCACCCTTGTTAAAAAGGTGATGCATTTACAGAACCTTCTTTTTATACATACAGAAATCATCCACTTTCCTGACTTTGCCCAGCACATCTTGGATGTAGGATGGGCCCGAAAAGGCCATCACTTGAATTACCACTTGAATATCATAAACCTTCCATTCCTTGGGAATTCAGCTAACAGGGACCTCCCACTGCCATACCCTTGCAAGGTCCCTTGAACTCCTCTGTGCTGCTATGGTTTATCTTGATTGGGTCTCACCTTGCTCAGAAGGTGAGAAGGGAAAGATGCAGAGAGGAATTAGCTTCCATTAGGTGACTTAGCTGTATTTCAAAATGCTTCTGAGTTGAACTGATGGTCTGCAGACATTTGGAAAGTGATTGGAGTATTTCCAAATGGCTGAGATGCATTGACTTATTTTTCCTTGAAAAAAAAAGAAAAGAAAAGAAAAGAAAAAGTTTAAATTAAGGGAATGAAAGAGATTTGGAGTCCCTCCTATCCCCATCAGAGTTTTATGTTCATCACATTGCTGTTGGAGGCAACGTACTTAAGGTTCAGCTTTGTGTCTCAGATAGACACAGTAAATGTGGTCCTAGGACACAGAAAGGCGACTCCATCTCAAAACCAGCAGTTTTACTCCAAAGCCAACCTAAGACAACCTAAAGCTACCAGCTAAAGCTACAAGCTTTAGCCCCCAATCCAGCCATGGCTGTTGCTGCCATGCGAGTTTGTCACAGCTCATTATGCTGGGCCTGGTATTTTCTTAAGACTTAGTTAGACATTCTTGGTTTGATGTTCATTTTATTCTTGGCAGGTGATGTGGAGAATTGTCAGTATAAAACATACATGCAAATGCTTCACTGGACTGATGTGATAACAGCTTTGTCTCTTTATTGACAAGGGTTTCCAGACTTAATTCCTGCTCTCCCTTTAGACACAGCCATGCTCATCTATCCCCCTAATTTCATGTGAACTGTGTTTGCAGACAGAACCAGGTTTGTTCTTGTTCTCTCTCTAGATCTGATTAATACATGCAAAGCTCACAGGCTTTCTGTGCATAGGGCAGAGCACCCCTGTGTATAAGCAATAATACTGACCTCCCATCTGCATTAGGAGTTCTGGCTTTTCTTACCTAAATCTGAGTTCACCTCTCCCAGTATCCCATACTGCTGCTGGGACTCGCCTGTTTTGTTTGGAAGCAACTCCAGGAGACAGGCAGCCAAGACCCAGTTGGTGGGAACAGAAGCAGCAGTTTATTAATATGGACAATCATATGACGGGAGCCTTTGGCGTGAACCAGGCTCAGTTGTGTTATCCGATGGTTGAGATTGATCCGAGGAGGAAAGGACATTGTAGCTGAGCCCTTTGGTGTCCCTGAAAGGATTATCCACCCTTCTGAGCTCCTGGATAGCCCTGCCTCCCCCAGACCCATTTCTTCCTTTCTCCAGCCACAGTTCTTCCTTCCCCTTGCTGGCAAACCACAGCTCAGCAATACCAAGTCAATACAAGGCATTCAGAGTTACTGAGTGGCATTTACATTTGCCTGGGATGCCAGCAGGTCTCACTTAGTGTTACAGATGCTCAAAATATTATAGTTTGTTCTGCTTATATACACTAAATCTATTTCTTCTAGGCTGCAAATTATGTTTTCTATCATTCCATTGACTTTTCTAGCCAATCTGGGTCTTAATACAATTGCTTTGCTGAAAAATGTCCTTTCAGCAGATCTTAGACATGAGGTACTTCTTTATTAACTAGTGATGCCAAGTAAAATCTTTGGCCATTGTCTGTTCCCTGGATCCAGTGGAGCAGGAGGAAGCTCTGCCTGCTCAGAAGCAATACTGGTATTTTCTGTGGCAGAGTATGAACCTGGACAGCTTTTCTTTGAGCTTTAGTCTCGTCACAGCTGCTCATCTATGGGCATCCCTTGGTCCCAGAAGGACACAGGGAATTCAGGAGAAGTCACATGGACAGAAGAATCCATTTGGATGGCTGCACAAGTAGGACCATAGGATGTTTGTAGTGTTCATGCTGTTCTGCTTGTCAGAACCTTGCTTCAGTCTCTGCTTGTTTGATGAATGGAGTGACCCCAGGGATGGGGTCTTTGGAGTACAATGAATTTGTGATATTTAACCCACTTTATTCAGATTAAGTGTGGCAGAGAAGGCTGTCCCACCCTAGGAAGGAAAATATTAGCCATGCCCTGACAGTTTGGAGTGCTGGGCTTGTTCTACACGAAGCTGGTGTCTGCAAATGGCAGAAAGCAATAAGAAACTTGTGAGCTCCAACCCAGCAAATAATCTATAGCAACTTCATAAATGAATTTTCCCTTTTATTTCTTTCTTGTAAATTGCTGAGAGAACCAAGAAAATGCTTCCAAGTGCATTTGCAAGGTCGTTTCTGCATATCATCTGTGGTCTGGAGGGGTTGGAAAAGCTTTCTTGTAATTCATACACATTGGTTTGTTCTGGCTGGACACAGAAATCACACGGGATATTTCTGCTCCCTGAGTTCCCTATACAGGAATTTTCTCATCAGTACAAATGTTTAGTTCAAAAGTATGTGATTAGGAATTGAGTAAGAGGATCCTTGCTCAGTGCCAGTGGGCAGGGCACCACTGAATGCACACTTGCTCCAGGACAGCCAAAGTGCTGGCTTCCAACTCACAGTCCCCTTTCCAGGAATATTCTCTCACAGATGCTTGAAATTCTCAGCCTTTCCTAATGTTCCTACCAGTTAACACATTCATTTGAGTAATTACTGAAAGCAAACACCAGAAGGGTATGAACCCAGATGAAACCAAATTGCTATTGAGGTGAAGCAGGTGGTGTAAATTCTATTTGCGATGTTTGCACAGCTCTTGGATTGGAAGCAAAAACCTCTTGGGAATTAAGAGAGTTGTATATGGCCTAACATCTTAGTTCTTCCCAACTGAACTGCCCATTGGTGGGACAGCAAAAGACATCTTTCCCTGCCACATATATCTTAGCCCTTGAAACCCCCTTTTCTTTTGCAGTACGGCATCGCACAAATACCAGTGCATTTACCCCTCAGTGCTATGTTTTTGGTGCCTCACAACTCTTTAACTGTGAACTTGAAGGGAAGAAATGACCCCTGTTCTTCGCCCACAACGCTTCCTGCCTGATCAGAGGAGGATGGTGATCCCTCTGGACGACTCACAGCCGTTTCCCTGAAGTCTTATCCAACGGTGCTCTGTGATTGCAGGTGGCCTGTTCGCTGTGCTCAGGGGTCTGTAACTTATCTACAGCCCCATGTTGCCTTCACTATGTTCTTGGTGCAAAGCACAGTGAGGAGGTTGTGCATGACTGCCCCTGACAGATGCTAAGGGCTGCTGGTGGTCTGGGACCACCAGGATTTGGGAGTCTCCATGTTAGCACATGGAAGCAGCTTCCCTCACCTACTTTTGGGAAGGAGCTGTCTCAGAGCAGGTTCAGTGGGAAGCTGGAGCAGCGCTTGGACCGCACAACAGGGGGCCTCTCCGTTCACTTCGGTACCACATCTGTAGGGAGGAGGGGTGGGGATGGAGCAGGGGAAGAGCTGTGACCTTTTAAAACCCATAGTGCCTACCACTGCAAATGGAACGCTGTATTGTATTATATTATACGTGACTACCATGTAAATAAAGTACAATAAATGTGGTGTTCGTTAGGATTTTGATACAAGTCAAATGCAGTCTGCAGAAATGTGGTTTTTTTCCCTGCTGTAGGTACTTATATCACATTCCAGGCACGGGGACGTTTGGAGTTGTGTGAGCTAGCAATGCATAAATGGCATTAGATGGGGAATGTTTGCAGTAAGACTGTTTTAAAATTCCTTTTGCCCTGTATAGATGAGACCCAAACACCATCTGAAAACCAGCCAGAAGGGAGGGAGTGGGGGCAGCTTAAACAGGCAGGAGGAGAGCAGCTTGTGATGAGGTTTTGAGCAGAAGCAACTGCTGCCCATTCAATCCTTAGCCATGCTTCATTCATGGTGGAGGGAAAGCAAAGTTTCAGTCTGGCTGATTTCTCCTTGCTTTGTTTTCCTGCTGCAGAGGTTGACCAGCAGCAGATGCCCTGCCTGTGTAACCTGGTCACCCCCCACCCCTGAGATCCCTTAGTGGCAGCTACAGCTGAGCAAACTTGACAGCTTAAAATTCAAAGCAGATTGAGAAAGAAGTTCTGTTCTTAACCAGCTGGCTCCTCTGTGTCTCTGGCAGAGATTGAGGAGCTTGTGTTTTTGGCTAATAAGAATATTAGGAACTTACTTTGTTCCTTAACCCACTCCCTTCTCCATCCTTCTGTTACTCCATGGTGTAATAAATAACACATTTCTGAGAGGAAGGTCTGCCATGTGCCCTCCAATCCTGATGAATCTCTTAACTGGGTTGATGGTGGGAGTTTCTCCAGGCTTCAGAAGCTCAGGACTTCTCTGACAAGTGTTTGCAACCAGTGTGTGGCTGTAATTTTCCATTGGTGCTTGGAGGATGCTTCCACACTGATTGTCTTTTTGGAGAACAAGACCACCCCATGCAGTTTGTTACACCTATGGCTCAAAACTCCCCTGCAGAGCTCTCTGCAGGGTCCACAACACTGGAGGAGTATCTACCTGCCTCTGTACCAGACCAGTCCGTGATGTTTGTCCCTCATACCATTGCTGTCCTTTACAGTCACCTGGGCAGAGCAGCATCTGTGGGTGGTTGGTTGTGGAGAAGGTTCATCCTGCACAGCACATCTCCCACAGATGGTCTGTAGCAGCTTGTGTGGGACCTGGATGAGCCCATGTGCCACTGCCCCTGCATCACGCTGTGGGTTACTCTTTTCCTACAGTGCCCAAGGAAAAGAAGTTCTTAAAAAGGTCTTTGAAGTGTGCTGTTTTGACTGCTGGTAATTTTGCAGGTGTTTAGCAGCACTTCCAAAAACAACCAAAACCTGGTTTGGAAAAGGATATGTTTCACTGTACAATTGATTTAAAGAAAAAAAAAAAAAAAAAAAAAGAAAGAAAGAGAAACCACATGCTCGATATATTTTGAGTACTGTGTTCTGTATTTTTGCAGCTTATATTTTCCAGATGAGCAGTTTAGAAATAATGTGATGTGAAATACATACTGTAAGTTTGCTGTAAATTATATTAAAATCACTATTTTCATTCTTCTGCTGTCTCACTGGATGATGTCTTTGGTTCTCCCAGGTTGGCTGGCTGGGCTCGTACTCTGTTCCAGAAAGTTTTCGGTTTCAGTAAAAGGAGGATGATTGTTCAGGTTGGAGGCTGGATGTTGAGGTTGAAAGTTTGCTGGAAATGACAATGGGGGTGAACATGTTCCTATGCATGTGCAGTGCCTTCAGAGGAGAGGTCTTGCTGAAAAGTGGTTGTGACAGATTTTTGGGAAAGGACAAGATGAAGTTTAATTAATGGAGAAAGGAAAGGGAGAATGAGGACATCCTAGATGGTTGCAGAATGGAGGAGCTTGAACACCTGGAAGTCAGTAGAATGAGGAGGAGCTCAGAGGGAACATGAGTTGAGCACTTGGGAAAAATGCTGGATGTCTCCGTGGTGACAAATGTGTCTGACACTCTTTGTGTCAGTTCAGCTGTGGAGGAAAAAAAGAAAATGAGCTTTTAGCTGAAATAGCAACAGCTCAGTAAAGTGGCTGAGCCCTGCAAAGCACCCTGAGCCCCTGCAGCTGTAGGGACTTCTTCATCTCTGTCAACATGCCCTGTGATGTAGGATCAGGCCACGTTCCTGAGAATTCAGTGATATCCACTTCCATTTACTCTAGCTGCTGCATTGATCAGAATGAAAATAAGCACTTTTTTGACCCATTATTTTTAAATGTTTCGAATCTGTTGTATGAGAAGAGTAGTTTTCTCCTGAGGTTCTACAAAATGATGCTAAACAAGGCAATTACATTCCAACTGAGCTGAATATTCAGTTATTCCTTGTTTGTTCCATTTTTTATCTTTCCCTGTTCTAATTCCCTCTTCTGGAAGGTAGAGAGCAAAACAAAGATTAAAAGTCAGAAAAAAAGAAACCCAAACATTTTACTGCAAACAAGTTCAATCCAACCACTGTTGCTTTGAATTCGCTTTCTAACAGCAGAAGCTTTGGAGAACAGTTCAGGAGTGAGGGAGGAAGGCTGGGAAAAAACGTTTTGTTAAATGTTGACAGCAAAGAATCTTTTATTTATTTCACTTTATTGGTTTCCCTCAGCCCACCTACTGCTGATGTTGGAGCCTGCACAGGCTCCCTCTAAGGGCATCATTCCTACTTGCTCCACTGGTCCTTCCTGGCAGGTCCCCACTGTCCCCCACAGTGGGTGAGCACATCAGCACACATCACACCCAGTGTTTTAGGACCTCCCCTCAGCTGCTGTAGACCTTGTGTTTTGGTTACTGCATCTGACAGAACTGGGCTAATTGGGTATTTACTGAGCTGAATTCTGTTGTGGATGCAGATTATTAACCTTTATGTCACCTAGAAGATATTACACCTGGTAAAGTTAATGTTTTGAGACTGGGAGGTTAATGTGTCAGCGCTCAGCCCTCCCTAATTAGCAACAGGGCTGTGTGTGGCTGTGCTGTAATTAGAAAGGACTGAAAGATGGGTTACATCAGTGGCATCAGTTTATCGCCTCCTTCAGCCCTCTCTGATCCATCTCTTCCTTGCTGTTCCAAGACCTTGGGTAAGTCTTGATGTTGTGGTGCCCATCCCAGGGAGAGTGTGATGCTGGAAGCCTTCCCAAGGTTAGCCTGAGCCTGAGCTGGGTCTAAGGCAGCAATGGTGATGATGTCTGGGGAGCTCCAAGCTGAGGAGGTTGAGGTGTTCCTATCAATGTGCTTAGCTGAGGCTCTTAGTTCTGCACCAGTTTTGCTCAGCTCCTGAAGCCTCGGGTGCTCTTTAGGGTGCTCCTGAGCTGGCTGAATGGCATGGAGTAGTTGTTAGGGCTTGGAAGAACTTGTTTTAGTTTTGCATTCTGGTGTTCCATCTGCTTGCAGCCAGAGCTTGCCGTGGGTTGTGTATCTACTGGAGCGAGGACCATGCAAAGAGCAGTCTGGTGGTCAGGAGTGGGGAATGTTGGAAGATGAAATATGTCGTTAGAATTGTGAACTTCTGAACCACAAACATTATTTGAAGAGCCTTGCTCAGCCAGTCAGAGAAGAGAGACAGATCCAATGTTGTTCATGGCAGGGCAAAGTTAGGTATTTATCCCTTGTTTCTGGTGTCCTATCACTCTTGTGACAAATATGTGCCAGGCAGGAGCATGGGTTTGTGCCTTGCAAAACCAGGAATTGCCTGTCTGTAGAAAGCTGTTTGCAGCTTGTGTCCAGGCTGACCCTAAGCAGCCAGAACTGTACTCTCTTTTCACTGCACATCCGTGGAGGTCTCCTGAACAGGAGAAAAGGGTTGTTCTGAAAGAGGCAGCTGCCTCCTGATCCACAACTCTTCCATTTGTGCCTCCTTCTGCTTGTCTCTCAACTCGGTAGGGATGGATCCTGCCTCACGTTGCAAGTGTCAGGTAATGACATCAGACATCCTCCCGTTCACTGCTCCCAAATGGGCTCCCTGTGCCCTGCATGGCAAAGGACACCTTATGTCATGCAAGTAGCTGGGAGAGGTGCACATGGAGCTCAGTAAACACAGGCACCTGGTGTAAGGCAGCTACTGCACAGGGCAGAAGGAAACTGCTTGGCACATTTCCAAGTGATGCTTTTCTCCATGAGCTGCAGCAGAACCTCCAGTCCCTGACACTGCATGAGCTGAAACTGAGACAAGTGCTCTGCATCTTTGACAGCAGGCGTGCCTGTGACCCACACTAAAGGTGACCAGATGCAGGCTGATTAATGAGAACTAGAAGGAAAAATTACTAATCTTTTCAGCCTGATTGGAAGAGGTGTTGCCCATCAAGACCTCCCTTGGTTTTGTGAGCCAAACTTCAGCAGCACGAGGAGGAGCCTGAGGTATCTGCACATAACGTGCTGAGTCTTAGCTCCTTCATGAGGTAGCAAGTGCAGGAAAAGTGCAAAACCAAACTGCTAAATACAACCAGTCAGAATATTCCCTGTGAGTAAAAAAAAGTCATTTCCTCCAAATTACTACTTTTTGGTGGGAATGTCTCCGTTTCAGTGGCATTTCATGCAAACAAAAGCTGATGAGCTTGCAGTGTCTTGTTGGAATTGAACCATTTAGAGTTTTCTTTGGGAAGCTGTAGCTTGAATTCTCTCCGCAAATAAAATAAATTAGAGTATTTGGACCTTTATCAAAATTAAATGTTTCTATTGCCTTTGAGCAATATTTTCTGCTTAACATTATACTTGTGTGGAAATTCTGAAATTCAATGTTTTGTTCTATTTTGAAACACAAGTGAACAAAAACCTTCTGTAATTTTTCACAGATGCCTTTTGCCAATCCAGACCCCACCAGAAAAATATTTCAGGTACACAACCAGCCTGGTGGTCACCTGGGACGTGGGAGCAGACACGGCTGCTGCCAGGGAATTGCAAGAGCACACAGTCACCCAGTAGCAGGCCACGCTCTTGCCAGGCAGTGTAAAGATAAATCCTGCTTGTAAGCAAGTAAAGGTTTATCCATCGCTCAGTTTCTTTTTCCCATTGATCCAGCCTTTGATAGAATAACTAATGTATTTAAAAATCAAAGCTAATGGTGCATTTTCCCTGTTAGCTTAAGGCCAGCATTGGTTTTAAAATTGGCTTTGTGTTTGTTCTTTCACAAATTTGCATCTTCCCTCTCTGGTCTTCCCAGCAGGGGATGGGAAGATGCTGCCATTGTGATGCTTGAGCTGGGCTCAATCTCAGACTGGGAATATTGTTCAGGGGCTGAGCTTGCTCATGTCCCACTGCCTTTGAGCACGGGCTGTGTAGCTTTACCCTGAATTTTTTAGAATGTAGAGTAGGAGGATCCTTATTTTAAGGGTGAAAATCCATGGAGGTGAAGGGCAGCTGCAGAAATGTGGTGGTTTTACTGGCCTTGTAGATATGAAAGAGCTTCTTGAGGAGAACAAAGTGCAGCTCAGGAGAGTTTGCTCCCTGCCTGAGGTCTGTGGGGCTGGCTGTCGTGAACATTAGCTGGGGGACCTTGCTGGCTGCCACAGTGCTTCTCTGCAGAGCCATTCCTCCATCTCTCAGGCTGTTTAGTCCATTAGTCACCTCAGTGGCCTTAAATAAAGGAATTTGAGGTTTTCATTAAAAGCCTTGAGCCTGGGATGCTGATGCTCAGCAGAGGTCCCATTTTCACCTTTAGGAAGTGGCCAGAAAGAATAAAAATGGTCTCATTATACAGCAAATTAGGAAAATTTTTGCTGAGAGGTGGGAGAGCAAAGGAGATGGAAATTTTTATCTTATTCTTGGATGGACTTAGGAAGGCAGTGAGGAGTGAATGTGCAAAGTGAACAGGGGTCCTCAGGCTGCTGCCAGCAGACAAACACAGAAATTCAGCAAACAGAAATCCAGGAGGCTAAGAAATGCTTGGGATTGAGTGGAGCCTCATCCTGCTTTTCTCTCTTAGGGATGGCTTCTGGAATTAAACTTGTTATCTCTCCAACCTTCCCTTCACATGCAGGAAGAAAGGGGCTGCTGAGCCGATGGTTTGAATGATTGATACGATGATGTTGCTGTGGCAGCCCTTGGAGGATGCTGAATGCTACCCTGCCCCTCAGATTAATTAGGAATGCTTCTACCTGAAATCCTGGAGACCTTTTCCTGCAAGTCTTGGGTGTATACAAAGGATATCTTCTCAGTTCAGAACATGTACTAATTCCCCACTGAAATCAGCGCTCATCCAGTGCTAACACCCACACAAGCTCCAAATGGCTCTGGAAAGGAGCAGAGCAGCTTGAGAAACATCTAGATTTCTGGATAAAGCCAGAACATAGCCCAGCCTTTGTTGAAATGGCATTGGAACAAAAAAAGTGATTGATTTATTTTATTATTTTACCGATATTGTGGAAACATTCTGCTGAACCACCTTCTGGAGATGCAGAAGAGGGTGCTGAGCTGCAAACCAAGATCTGCTCAGCACAGGAATGCTCTTTGGAGAAGAAGATGAGGCTTGAGGGGACTCTCTTTGCCCTTCCATTACTTCTGATCTGTTTCACTGTGGGTCATAAAGCCTGGTGTGCTGCGTTTTTCAAG